CTTGGTTTATATTTGATTTTTGTTTTCCTAATTAATTCGTTTTAGCGTTTGACAAGTTTTTCAAAAACCAATCAAAATAATATGAAATGTCAAAGAGTTTTGCTAAAAGTTGCATTGAATTTTAGTTAGGTAATATGTCGTACAACAAATGAAACATTAAAAAACGTTCAAAAAAACTTTTTTTGATAAAAATAGACACATTAGGTACATAGTTTTTTTTTCAATAATTATAAAATAACACAATTTTATTATTTAATAAGAACTTTTTAAATATATTTTAGAATTGCATTTATAAAATCTGCCTATTCAATAAAGATTCTTTATTGCTGTAAAAATATCACAGTTATAAATTAAATATTTAAATTTATTTCTTATAACTAAAATATTTAAATTGTTTCCTAAATAAGCTTTTTGTATAAATAAATTATTTTACTATCCGTTTTACAATCGCCGACAGGTTTGCCTAATTATTATCAATTTAATGACGATAGTGATTGGGTATTAATATTTTATTTGAAATCGTTTTTAACCGTTTACATGAAGTTAATTGACTGGTATTATGGTTTATCCACCTCGGGCTAATTGCGATAACCCGCTTCGACGGACAAAGAGTCAGTGAGTTTTAGGAAGAACGAAATTAATAAAAGCCAGATGTAATCGAGCTAGAAAAATAGAGCAAGCGTACAGATATTGCATGGATGTTAGCAAGTGCAATATCGACAAACAGAACTTTTCATTATGCTTTTATTGATTCGATGGCGATCAAAAATTAATGCCAATTGCGTATTACACTGTTAAAAATTTCCGTTAAAAATACGGAAATGTATTCCGTTATTTCAACGAAAAGTATCCGTATGTCCATGTATGGATGTAACCATCAATTATGTACGGAAATTTTCCGCAATAGTAATTAAATTTTCAAATACGGAAATTTCTGTTGTATTTATAACTGGAAATAGATATAACATGTTGAACTGCCAATAGTGAAGATTTTTTAAAGTTATTTTTATGTACATATTTATCTCCAAAAAGAAGCTCTGAAGTTTTACCTGCAGGGCGAAAAAAGTTCACCAGACATTTTACTTTAAATTGTTCTGTTCTTTTTAATTTTAAAATTACCTGAGCTTTTTTTGGTCCCTGGATTGCTTAGAACCATTCTAATAGAACGAGATTATGTTTAGTAGAATTCTTGACACAAGACTTGTGCATTCTAAGTTCAATTTTGAGTGATTTTAAGTTTATGTAAGTGCACTGACATAACATGCTATATACAATATAGATCATTTCAAAGCCAGGGAAAAAGTTTACAGTTTAAAATATGTAGCTTAAAAATAGTAAATTTTAAAATTACACTACTTGAGCGCAAGTGTTTCATTATAATAAGATAAATGAATTTCTGATTGTTTTAAAAATTGTTTATACGAGTAACAATATTTATTTTTATTATTATTTAATTACATTTATGATTTAACTTAATAAATAAAACATTTAGGTTACCTACAAGTGAACATTAAAAAAATAAATTTAAAAACAAATTTATAAAGAATACCCCAGAAATTACAACTATAATTTGAATACATTTTTAAATTTATTTGTTTATAATATTCATGCCGGATAGCCGTGCAGGATAGTAAAATTCTATATAAAATAAATATATCTGCAATAATTTTTCTTTATTTTTTCTGATTGTTTTTAGAGAAATTTTGATCATTTCACTAAAAGCATTTTGGAAATTGTATGTAAAACTAAATCATTTTTAGATACAGTTTTACATACAGTTTTACATAAAATTTAAATACAAAACAAACAGTATTGACCAGTTCACTAAAAGATTTTGAACATAAATCTTATTTCTAGCAATCCAACATTGTAAAAAGACTATATATAGTAAGTTATTGTTGATACTATAGAATCAAGTGATGCTCTATAGTATGGACTAAAAATAAAAATGGTTATTTCCAAAAAATAAATAAAAAGTGAAGGCCTAAAGCTATTGCTTTAAAGGTGTTGTTTGTTTTGTCTATTGTTGTTAAATAATTCTGAATTTATATTTCATATTTTTCTCAAAATTTAAGTGCTTTGGAGTATCAGAAATGAAAATTTGATGTATTTTTAGTTATTAAAGTATATAATCATTTAATATATAATAAAATAAGTTTAAGTTGTAGGTGTGAGGTCCTTTTATTATATATATTAATATATAATAAAATAAGTTTTAGTTGTAGGTGTGAGGCTTGAATCTTCTTCGTTTTTTAGTTTACATATCTCTTATAGAGTAAATGCTAATGAAGTATTTATTTAATTGCTAAAGTGATTTTTAGGTTCATTACTTTAAATTTACAAGAAACATTGTTTTTTCTCAAAAAATTATGTTTTTTCAGAAAAGATTGTGTGTTTTCTGGCAAATATGGCTTATTTTTAGGAAAATAATCTTACTGATCAAGCCAGTGTGCGAGGTACCGCTGCTTACATTTTTTTTCTTGAATAGCCCCTGTATATATATATATATATATATATATATATTATATATATATATATATATATATATATATATATATATATATATATATATATATATATATATATATATATATATATATATATATATATATATATATATATATATGTATATATATATATATATATACATACATATATATATATATATATACATATATATATATATATATATATATATATATATATATATATATATATATATATATATATATATATATATATATATATATATATATATATATATATATATATATATATATATATATATATATATGTATATATATGTATATATATATATATATTTATATATGTATATATATATATATATACATACATATATATATATATATATATATATACATACATATATATATATATATATATATATATATATATATATATATATATATATATATATATATATATATATATATATATATATATGTATATATATGTATATATATATATTTATATATGTATATATATATATATATATATATATATATATATATATATATATATATATTTATATATATATATATATATATATATATATATATATATATATATATATATATATATGTATATATATATATATATATATATATATATATATATATATATTTATATATATGTATATATGTGTGTATATAGATATATATTTTCTTCTTGAATAGCTCCTGTATATATATATATATATATATATATATATATATATATATATATATATATATATATATATATATATATATATATATATATATATATATATATATATATGTATATATACATATATCTATATATATACCCAGCCAACATTGACATACGGGTACCGTACGGGGCCCATACGGGTCATCAACTGAGTCCCGTATGGGAAGACCAATGGTATCCCGCCGGATCATGACCGCGGTTTTCATATGGGACCCATATGGGTTAGCCCGCCGGGCATCCCGTTTGGGTCCTAGTCAAATCCCGTACTTTAAAACCGTAAGGGACCCATTTAGGTTTGCAAAGGGGACCCATATTGGAAACCTATCGGGAACCCGCCGGATCATGGCCGCGGTTTTCTTCTGGGGCCCATATGGGTATGCCCGCCGGGTATCCCGTGAGGGTCCCACGAGGTTTACCCATTGCAAATCTTGCAAAACTACGTTTAAATGTTTAAAATTTACAGAAAAAGCAAATTTATATATAAATTGATTGGTTTATTTCAAAAAAAAAAATAGTAATTAAAATTACACTGTCAAAATTAAGCAAACTTTTGAACGATTCTTTAATCATGTATCAAATGCTTTCAAGTTTATCTCGGGAATCGGAAGCTTTTCCATTGTTGTTAAAACGACTTCTTTGAAAACCTCTTTACACAATATCTCGTTTCAATATGAACTGTAAAAAATTAAGTTTAACTGTTAGTTTTAAATTTTATTGGTAACACATACATTAATTTTAATATGTTATAAAACTCTTACAATTTCTCCCAACTCTCTTCAGATAAAAAATGTAATTTTCACCATCAAAGGTACTTGTAATAGATAAGCACATGCTTATGATTCATATAATAAATTGATAACATTCCTTTAGTTACTGATAAATAAATTATATAAAATTATTAAATAAATATATTTTTTTATTTATATTCAGCGCTCGAAATAACGGCCGATCAACGATCAATGATCGTCGACTTTTGGAAAAAAAAAAATTTTGAACTCCCAAAATTAATTATGGCCGATCAAATTTGATCGTCTACATTGCATGTCACACATTAGAATAAAAAATTTTTTAACATTTAAAAAAGAATCTTAAATTTATTAAATTAGCATTAAAAAAATATGTTCATTATTGCTGAATTAAACAAGTTTTTAGACCAATAATAATCTTTTAGTTCACATTAAAAATGGTAATTAAAAAGAAGCGCGAAGTTTATTGTAAATAACTTAATAATGCTTTTGATTGGTGGAATAAACATAGCGTTGATTTCGTAACAGTCTTCAGTTCGAAAGTTTATTAACTGTAAAAGAATTATTTTAATAAAGCGAATTCATTTGAACAAAATGAATTAATAACTAGAAAGGTTAACATTTCTTTGATTGTCTGAAAAATAATGAACAAAGCAAGTTTGTGTCTGAAAAATAATGAACAAAGCAAGTGATTCGTTGGAAAACTTCATTTTGAAATCATCGTGACAATTTAAATTGAAAGAAACAGTTTTTGTTTTAAAGTTTTAGAAATTAAATGGTAAGTTTAAAAATAATCTTAAAATGGAAGCATACAAAAAGCGTCAAACATTGATTTCTTTTAAAAGAAACTAAGTATCTGGAACACCCGCTGAGAAAAAACTAAAAACTTATGACAGAAAGCTACAATTACAAACAGCTAATAAATGGAAAGTCTCTACGCTTGCAAAATATAATGCTAATGATTGGCTTGAAATTGAAAGCGTTGACGGAATAGTTACAGCGCTAAAGTAAGCCGAGAATATGTATCGCAAATTCAGATTTTAAAAGGCTACACTCCGGAATGGAGCTGTGGAAAAGGATGTAGTCGATTGCAACATAGTTCTGCAATCACGCATGCAGAGGGAATGTCTCATCAGAAGGCTTTTGAGATTTTTATGAAAACGAGAGGCATGAATTTGTGCGATCGAATTGAAAAACTAAACGAGTTGCAGCAGGAAATGCGGCAAACAGACATTTTATCCGGTATTCAAACCATGAATAGTAAAGACTTGGATTTGACAAAAAAAAAATTTGAGGTCGCTTACTTTATAGCAAAAGAAGAACTATCGCTTTGCCTATACCCAAAAATAATTCAATTAGAAGAGAAACATGGTGTAGTTTTTGGTCAGGCTTATAAAAACGAAAACACATGTGGAGTATTTATTGACTACATTGCTCTTAGTTTAGCGATAGATCTCAAAAATAAACTAAATACTCGAAATTTTTTCACTATTTTAATTGACGGTTCTAACGACGTTTCAATTAAGGAAAAAGAAGCTATATTTGCCGTTACTTTTAATCCGGCTCCAACTGGAAAATCTGAAGTAAACGTTGAATGTGATTTTCTTTCACTTTTGGATGTTGAGTATGGAACTTCGCACGGAGTTTTCAACACCATAAAAAAGTCACTCGAGAATATAGAAGTCGTAAATTGCAATAAAAAACTAGTTGGATTTGGTGCGGATGGCGCATCCGTTAACAGAGGGAGCAAGTCGGGCGTTAAAATGTTGCTCAAGGCTGAAGTCCCTTGGATCACGTTTGGCTGGTGTGTAGCACATCGTCTCGAGTTATCATTAAAAGAAAAATTAGGAAAAACAGCCTCATTCAATGACGTTGATTACATGATTTTAAAAATGCATTACATTTACAAAAAATCCCCCAAAAAGTTAAGACAGTTGGGTGAACTCGTTTCTATTTTAGAAGATGATGAATATAACATTGGTGGTTACCGACCTAAGAAAGCCTCCGGTATTTTCTTTTTTTTGCTTGATTTATTTATCTTATATTTATTACCATTACAGTTATGCGTGACGCCTATATTTTTAGTTTTTGCAAGTATAAAGTAAATTATAAATTGTATAATCTTGTTTCATTTTTAGGTACACGATGGATTTCACATAAAGTTCAGGCTTTAGAAATGATTTTAGATAAATAAGGTGTTTATTTAACACATCTGGAAAATATGACTGAAGATATAACATTTACCAATGCTTAAAGAGCTAAGTTTAAAGGATACCACAAAAAGTGGATTCATGCTAGAATGCCTCTTTATATCGCGTTGTTTATTGAGATTTTAGCACCAGCAAAGATGTTGTCAAAATGTTTTCAAAGTGATGAGATAGATGTGTTGGCTTCATCAGGGTTTGTTCAACAAGCTAAAAGCCATTTAAATCGTATTCAAAAAACAAAGTTTATTAATTTGCCAACAGTAAAACGTTTTCTCGCCAAAGTGACTGAAAAAGAAGGAAAGTTTTATTTCCACCGTGTTGCACTTAACGACTTTGTAAATGCTAAACATTTAGTAAAAAAGTCTAAATCTATTCATATCGAGTTGGTAACAAATTCAATCATAGAGCGTTTGGAAACAAGCGATACTATTACTGATATGTATGGTACAAAAGTTTTAAATACAGAAGGTTGGCTTCAAAGTATTGAAAATGAAACATTCCCGGATGAAGGAATAGAAAATCTTTTTGACTTTTATAGAGCGCCGTTGCGACATGCTGGTTTTGCAGGAACTGTAAATGATGTTTTGGATGCTTGGCATAGCTTGGTAAACTACACTGTAAAATATTTAGCACCACATAATACCGGTTATCCTAAGTTATGGCATCAAATTTTTTCTAGCTCAATGAAAAATGAATGGGTTCCGGTTTTACTTATTGTCGAACTATTATTTACTTTGCCTGTTTCTAATGCGAAAGTTGAACGCCTTTTTTCACTAATGAATAGAGTAAAAACGGATACAAGAAATTCTCTGAAAGAGAAACGTTTAGAAAATTTAATTCGAGTAAGTTTCGATGAAAAAGATTCCAATTTATTTGATTTAAGTTCTGCTATCGAGTTATGGACCAATGATGCCGTGCGAAGGCCAAAACAATCAGTAAGAAAATGCTATTCCAAAAGAGCAAAAAAAGCAGGATTAAAAACATTAATCGACTTGGATTCATCATCTAACGAATCAAGTAATGAATAGCGCAAAACGAGATTATTTTTTCTCACCTTTTTTTAGTTTAAAAAAGTTTTAATAATCAAATATTGGTTAAAAAGTTCATTACCTTTTTATTGTGTCATTTTTGTTAAAAAACGATCATTTTATAAAAAACAATTGTTCGAGTCACAAAAAATATTTTTACGTCACTTAAAAGGCAACGCGTTGAAGTGAAAAAGTGAATTAAGAGCTAAGTTTAACCATAAGTTGAGAAATCTTCGCATTACCCCTAAGCATACTAGATGCATTAAGTCTAAAGAAAACTTTGTCACCATATCAAAATTTAATTCAATTTAACACACCACTAAGATGTTCAGAATGCTTTTAATGACAAAAAATCTGAATCAGTGCTTAAAATTAGTGAAATATGTAGGAGAATTATCTTGCAACACCACTCTCCTTTCTAAGCACAACATTCACATCAGTTATAACCATTGTGTCCTTTAATACACTTTACAAATGCTCTAGCTGCATCACATATGATAACAGCAAGATTGATTTTAAACTCAATATTTTCATAGATAAAACCATCTTTTGCAAGAACTTTGAAATCTACCTAAAAATTATGTAGACAATTTAGGTGACCTGCTATTCTCATTTACTGAGCTTTTTTACTCTTTTTTCACAAACCATACTTTTTTCAAATCCTGTACTCTGAAAGTACTCATTTGTATAATTTCGTACTCATTTGTATTTCTAAAACATTTTTTTTTATATTATTTCATTTCAATTTTATTAATTAAATATTTAAAATTATTTTGACAGTGATTTGAATTTCATGCGCACATATTGCTAGCCGTTTCCAGCACGTCAGAGGACAGGGCAAACACCAGATACAAGTTTGACAGTGATTTAAGTTTTGAACGCACATATGGCTGCCATTTTCAACACAATTGAGAGGCCGTATTATGAACCTGGAGAGATAGATAGATACTACAGACCTCTTTTTCTAACAATGTCAAAATTACATTTGTGAAAAGAGATGGACCCAACATTTGCATATGTAATCCCCAGGATGATCTTTGATGTGCAGTATGTACGCCATGCTTAACAGTCTTGAGGCATGCGTAGTATGTACAGCAAAGTTTTTTATGCATTTATTTAATTAAATGAAAGGATAACAAAAACCTAACTGTACATACTACACATGCGCTTATAGTTAATTAACCATAAAATCAAAAATTACAAACTTAATTATAATTTACAAATTTATGTTCGGTGTCACTCATATTAAAAACAAGTCAATGGAGCGACACCTTCATAAAATAAACAAATAAAAAAAAAAATAATAAGAAAGAAAGAAAACTACATTAATACAAGTAATAAAAAAAGAAGTATAAGGAACAATAATATTTAAAAAAGTTGGAATTAACACAAAAATATAAAAGAGTAATGCTAAGAAAAATGAAAAAAAAAAGAGAAAATGAACGGATGAGATAAGATGAGTGAGAAAATATGTAAGAGAAAACAAAAACTTAATCACATAAGTTCAGAAGGATAAAGTGACAGAAAAATTTTTTTGCAGAAAAATATAAAAAAACAAATTAAAGGCAAATTTAAATAAAAAATATATACATACACTACTATATACAATATTAAAGGCTATATTAAAGCCTATAAACTTACCGCTTTGGAAGAGTCCAATCCCGGGAAAAAAAAAAATGAACTTTAGAGCATTGAATTGTTTTAAATGGACCCTTATAAATAGTAAAATTTAATGGAAAAAAGTTTCTTCAGCAGTCGAATTTGTAATAAAGGAAGTAAAAGATATTGTTATTAATGACAATTTTCTTTTTGAAGAAATCGGAAGAGTTAAATTATTTTTAAATGAAGAAAAATTAAAGAAATGGAACAATGAGAAAATAGAACTTGAAAAAAGATGGGTAGAAATCTTTCGGCATTTTAGAGTAGAACATATCCCACATGAAAATTTAAAAGCTTTAACAGAAATTTCTTTATGTTGTCCAGGCACTAATGCTGCTGTTGAAAAGGTATTTTCACTAAGGAATGATTATTGGAGCAGTGAGAAGTTGCAACTTTCTGTAAAAACATTATAAGCCGTCTTAACAGTCAAATTTAATATGAAATTTAATATGTTCGGATGCTGCTACATTATTAGACGAACATCCTCATCTAGCAAAAAAAATCCACACTGACGAAAAATATGTTTTGAAAAAAAAATAAAGTTTTTTATCGTTTTATCTACCTTTTTTTTTTTTACCTATGAAATACTTGCAAAGTGTACTCTTTTTGAACAAAAGATAGTTGGTCCCCTTAAGATAATTAAAAATGGAATTAGATTTTTGGGCACCACTTTTTAAACAAATTTCTAAAAACATAATTTGGGTCCCCTAATATTGTAATTCCTAGGCCTAGGCTCTGATGGCAACATTTATAAATAGCAACAACTTTTGGCAAATTTTATTTAAAATTTACATGTATGTTTAAATTTTGTCACTGTTTTAGATTTTCATTGAATAAATTCCTATATAAAAGTATATTTTATATAAAATATTTATGGAGTATTATTCTCTTTTACTATCAGCTATCAAGATGATTAAACTGACTTGATCAGCTTCAGCATTAATCTGAAGCTAATGAGTTTATAGCTGAAGCTGAAATATCAGCTGCAACCCCTACTTTATAGACAACATAGTTAATGTGATGTATATACGTTATAATAATAAATGTGTTTTTTTTTATACTCAAATACTTATTTTTTTATTTTATGATACATTTTAAATTTTTTTTTTAAACACATGTTTTTTTATAATATTTAATACTTAGGAAATACTGACTTTTGCGGAATATTCTTTAGATAAAAATAATATTTACTTACATTACTCTAATCGAGGTTATAAACAATGGTAATATTTACTCAAGTTATTATATTTGTCCCCAAAGTTAATGTAGCTCTATTATACATAAGTCTCTCACTAATTCTAATAATAAAAAGTTATTGCCATTATTACTATAATTGTATTTACTAACCTGTTATTATTAATATTTATTGAAAACACATTCTGGTTGTTGAACTTTTACTCATATCAATATGCAAATATTGTCAACAGTCAGAGTGCACCGCGCAGAAATATTCTTTAGCATGCTGCAAAATACAAGATATACATAAGATACATATCATATAAGACCTATTGCCTGGAACTTAAAATTTTATATTGTTTAACTTACTGTAACTCAATTATAATAAATAAGCATATGGTTATAATCTATATAATAACTAAGATCTTTTTTTAGTTATTGTTATTTATGTAAAAGTTATAAGTTAAATTAAAGTTTTATAACTAAAGTTTGAATGCAAAAGTTTATATCAATAAAAACTTTTATCAGTATTATAAACATAAGTATTATATTACAAGTATTTACAAGTATAGGTATAGTAAGTATAAGTTATTATTATGTATATTATAAAGTTATTGTTTATATTGCAAGTGTACAATTTTAAATCAAAATCAAAAAATATCAATGATTAAAAAATGAGGTTGATGCATAACAATAAAGCCATATTTTTGCATTTAAACATCTAATTATATCTTTATTTATATCTGACGGTGGGTAAACTTCGTTAACATCAGTCATTTTGCTTGCATAAAATATAGAAAAATCAATGGAAAAGAGTGGATCTGTAAAAACGATTTAAAAGCTTTTAATTCCCTAAATATAACCTATCCATTACATTCTATTCGCCTGTTTGCTCTTTTTAAATGTTTCTGACTAATCTAATATTTTGATTAAACTCAAACCATTTATTATCTAATTATATCACTAGCTGCTAGTTTGCACTGTTTGCATTTTTAAAATGATCAAAATATAAAGTTTTGTTTCTGCTAGTGACTAGCAGAAACAAAACTTTATATTTTGATCATTTTAAAAATGCAAACAGTGTCTAAATGGAACATTTACTACATGTTTAATAGTTTCTGGAACATATGTTCAACAAATATGTTGAACTTTGTAAATTCATTTAAAAAATAGTATATATGTATATACATGCATATATAAAAATTCTTTTATAATGATAATAAATAAATGAAATTTTAAAACAACGTCTTTTTAACTGAGTTTTACAGTGACAAAACACAACAAAAAAAAATTCTTTTTAATTACAATGTAAATATAATATATTCAAAAAATGTAATGCATAAAAGTTAAATTTTTAATCTTATTTCACGCACAATACGAATTAAAAATGGCAACCATCGAGTAAGTTTTGTTATGATTTTTTTTAAACCTTTTGGGTACCTTA